GAAGCGATTCGATTATTATGCATATATGCAAGACTTACATGGAGGAAGGAAAGATCAGGAAATTTTGTATCATTTGACGAATTTTGCCGAAAAACAATTTGTATTTTATCAACAAACTGCCATGAGTATACAAAATTTGAAACCAGGTTTAGATAAACTAGCGGTTGATGTTGCTGAGGCAACAAAGGAAATTCATCTAATGAGGAAAGAGAGAGAAGAAAGGCGTAGAGCATTGGAGACTCGGGCAATAACCGGGAGCCCATTCACAAATGAGTCTTTCAATGAAGGGGAGAACTCAAATAATTGTAATGGAAGTGTTTCTACGGATAACACGATCGACAATGCAGAAAATCATTCGACTCATAATGGTTCACAGAATACGATACAAAATAAATTCAAAGGAATCCGTGATTTGGAGCAACAAGGCACTGAATCTGCATCAATTGCTGGAAGGAGGAAAGAAGGATTTTTGTTTGCTACATCACGAGCAACGCAACATGGAACTGTTGATCCGATCGCAAAAAATAATTGGCATAAGTAAGTTATCCGATAAATCGTCTCCAAAATTATTGTTTATTTTGTCATACGGTAATCATAAAAAAATTTTTTTTTTTTTAAGATATTGGTGCGTCTTGGCGGGAGGTCAACTTTGTGAGTATAGCAATTGGAAAAAACAACTTGAAACACACAACGAGCCAATAAACTTACGATTTGCGACCGTAAGAGAGGCAAGAGGTGCCGATCGTCGTTTTTGTTTTGAGGTTATAACACCTCAATATCGACGTATTTATCAAGCGGTCTCAGCTGAAGACATGAATTCGTGGATAGCGGTAATTTCTAATGCTATTGAGAGTATTCTTAATGGAACTAGCAGCTGTCGTAACTTGGATCAAGTCTTGACACAAGACGTTGATAGTACTGGTGCTGGAACGTTGTTTACCAGAAAAGCTATCCAAAGAAGGGGAACATTACCAAGTTTGTCTGAAAGAAGAAAATATGATATGAAAAAGGGCACGCCAATGTTATCCGAAGAGCCAATTATAAAAACGCAGTCTAAGGGTCGAAACCGTCAGGAAATAGAAGACAATGCAAAATCTTTGAGAATTCTTGAATCTATCAAAGGTGCAGACATATCAAATAATTCTTGTGCAGACTGTGGAGCTCGTAAGACAGAATGGTGCTCAATAAATTTGGGAATTGTTTTGTGTATAGGTAAATGTTAATTTATTTTGCAAACGGTAGTTGGTATTGATTTATCTCTTATTGAATCATTTGAATTTAAAATGTAAATTGTTTATTTTAGAGTGTTCCGGAATCCATCGTAGTTTGGGCACACATATTTCAAAAATAAGGTCGCTTACTTTAGACACAACTTCTTATACACCTGATCTTGTTCAATTAATTAAATCAATCGGAAATGCACATTCAAATGCTATTTGGGAAGCTACGCTTTCAAAAAAAGAACAACTTACGGATAACCCGCCTATACCACCTTCAAAGCATGACTCTCCGCCACCAGTTCCACCAAAATTTGAGTATATTCCCGAGACAGCTGCAGATTCCGATTGGGAAGACCTCATCAATATGATATCACCATCTTCAAATCGTGTTCCATCTCCATCATCGTCTGCATCATCATCTACATTATCACCGACTCTAAAAAAACCTCAAACTATGCGTAAACCAACAAGCTCCGATACTCGCGAATTTAAACAAAAATTTATTACAGCCAAATATGTCGATCGGGCATTTGTAGATTTTTCACTTGTTGACGAGGATAAAACGGCGACGGATCTTCTTTTTCAGGCTGTGAAAGTAAATGATATACCTTTAGCAATGCAAGCCATTGCATTGAAAGCTGATGTGAATACTGCACGTCGGTTCGAAGTGCAGGAAGATCACGGATTGAAAACACCATTATTATTGTCGTTGCTCCATATTGAACCTTCGAAAATGGTAACAGAAGAAGGGAAGACCCTATTTCCTATGGCCGAGTTACTATTACAAAATGGAGCTCACGTTGAGAAAGTCTTATTTGACAATCTCGAAGATATGCTTGGTGTAGCATCACAGCCTATCATACGAAGTTCAGCAAAGAGTGTTGGGACCTGGGCAACAGAAGTTGTTAGTGATATGAAGAAATCAGGAAAAACCATTCTGGATGTAGTGCAATCAAGTGGAAACATCGCAGCGATAAGATATATTACACCAAAAGTACTTGCTAGAGGAACTCCAAGCGTTACAAATTCTTCATTATCCACAACAAGTACCGGTGGTGTAGTAAACGGCAACGCTTCAGAAAAAAAGTCATCATCGAACATAGGTCGTTCCATATCAATATCAGTTAGGAATGTATTATCATGACAGGATCATGATGGATAAAGGGAATTTTTTTAATCATAAGTCGTGGGCGGTAAAACATTTGGGTATTCTAATTTATTTTATAATCTTACAATATATAAAATTTTCTGTTTAAGAATCTTTTTTTTTTAAAAAAAAAAGAATAACTTGCAGTTTTCGTCTATTTTAAGCTTTTAATGTGTTTCAAATAGTATTTTTGTATTTTTATTAAAATTATCATAGTTGATAGATGTGCGATCCTCGTTTAGCTTAGTATCAATTTATATATACATTCTCTTTCTTTTTTGTACATTATATAATTTTTATTTCAGCTTTCAATCACGAAAAAAACTTATACATAAACCTACAGATGTAATGTAATGGAATTATATGATTTTACGATTTTATCAATTTTGTACGATTAAATACATTATTCATTAATCGTAATGACAACAGTTGAGGTTTGACTTGGTTATTACGGATAAGCTTTGACAATGCAAAAGTTTCAAAATTAGTAATTTGTATTTAGTAAAAGTGTTAAACTGTTTTTTTATTTGATATGATTTAGAGAATATTAGAAATAATAATCCTTAAAAAAAAAAATTTTTAAATTTATTTAATTATTAATATACAGCATATATACTGTATATTTAATTATATACAGTATATATACAGTCAACTCTCTCTAATCCGAACCTCTCTAATCTGAACACTATTAAGTTCTCTCTAATCCGAACCTAAAACTCTAAGACATTTGTAAATTTTATTATAAAGTTCGGATTAGCATATAGTACCTC